GCCGGGCCGGGCGTTTCCCCCGGGGTCCCGGCCCGGAGCGAGCGGGGAGAATCCGGGCAGGGTTTGGGGGGATGCGGGGGCCGCGGGAGTTGCTTCCTCGGCTTCCCAGCCGGACGCGGCGGAACTCGAGATCGCAAAGCGGCGCGGCTCGTCGCCTCCGAGGGGCGGCGCCGACTGGGCCATCGCAGGACCTCGGGAGACGGGGCACCCGGGATGCAACCCCTTCCCCAGTTTTGGGGACTCCCGAGGTTGTAGGCGCCCACGGCGGTGGTTTCCAGCCTCTCCAGCACCGCTGCGGGGGGTGGGAGCGCGAGCCTTCCCGGGGCAGAAAGTCTGGGATCCTGAGCGCTTTGGAGCCCGGAGGTCACCCTCCGCCCCTACAAGACCCTGGACGGAAGAGGAACAGAAGCCCCGGGACATAGGGAAGGGGGAGGTGGGGACCCCCGAGCGACAGGGCCGGTGGGACGGGTGGCTGTTTGGACATCCCGAGTCACATCACTTGGTCCATTCGACCTGGAGGGACTGTAGTTCTGTCTCAGAGGCCAAGGGGTCCAATTGCCCCCTGAGTCCTGAGGGTGGGGGCTTTCCGCCTTAAACTCTGTCAGCTAAGGGGCACAGAACTTGAGTGGCCAACCCGAGAGAAGCACTAAGGAGAGGTTGGTGTCCTCCTCGACCACTCCCCCTGGACCAGAGGGAATAAAACAGTCACACAGTGGTTACTTCTTCATAGGAGGGAGTTAGGCTGTGAGTAGTTCCCCTGCTCGAGGCCCTGCCTCAGGGGACCCAGGTGACAGCTAGTCCTGGTGGACTTTATTGTACGGTCGCCAGCATGAACACCCGGCAGGCCAGGAGGTCGAAGTCAGTGATGCCTGTGATCTCAGCGTGTAGATACATGGGAAAGTCACTGCCCTGAATTGGACAGAAGCTGATGGAAAAGGGTGGTTTGTGGACACAATGCTCAAGCATTCCTGGAGAAGGGGACTCCATGACCTCTCAGCCCATTAATGATCGTGCTGCTTAGGAGGCTGCCCCCAGGGAGCCCAGTTTTCAAAGCCCTGGTGTGGCTCTTGTCCAGTTCCACATCCCCCACCCCTAACATTTATGGCTGGTGCTGAGTTTGACACCAGGCTGTCTCTTTTGTACACGTGTCAAATCCCCCTTTCAAAGCAAAGCAGGCTAAACAAACACGTTTTCTGTGCCCCCCAGGCTCAGGGTCCACCGTGGGTTTGGATTTGGTACCGAAGCAGCTGGAGAATGCATCCCACAGTCCCATGCTGGGTTCCCAGACTGTGTGACCTTGCCACCTAACATGTCTATCAGAAATGGAAGGGCTGCTCCGGGTGGGGGCTGCCTAGGAAGGGCAGACAGCTAGCTGGGGTGGGGGTCGGGGGCGTGCTGTGTGCAACCTGCAGATTGAGGCTGGCCGGCATGCCCTGAAGTGTCCTGGAGCTCATTGATGCTAGAGGGAGAGGTACCAGGCTCCTGTCACCTGGATTTGAATGGGCCACAGGCCAAAGCCACCCCGGCTGGGAAACACCTGGGTGGTGTCCAGAGCAGATCTGGCAGGGAAAAGGCATTCAGCCCGACTTGCTTTAAAAAGTCTATGAAGAAAAGCTGCGCGATGTGAGTAGGCTTGGCAAGGGTAGAAAAGGCAGTCTGGCCTTAAACCCAGAGGGGTGTGGGCTCATGGTTCATTGAGGTGCAGCACAGGTGTTTCAGGAGTCCATGGTGTCCCATGCAGCCAGGCTGCTGGTCTCAAAGTGCCCTCTTGTTCTTATCCATGCCAGCCACTCTTTGTACTGGGCTGCTTTTTCCTGTAGTTTTTCAGGTACCAACTGAACCCGACTGGACCCTTTTAAAGCAAGTCCTTTTTCCTCCCCCGCCTCATTGCCCTAATTTTTTCTTAGTTTTTGCCCCTCTCCTTGATCTCTGTTTTCTTGCTTTTTTTTCCCCCCGAGTATTTTCCTCTGCATCCTTCTTCTCTCTTCCTCTTCCCTCCTATATTCTTTGTTTTAGATCTGGAACGTATTCTCTGCTGATGATGCTACCCAGTCTAGGTAGGCTGGGGCCTTTGAAGCAAGAGACTTACCACAGCTTCTTTCTGGTTTTTCTTTTCCAGAGGCTAGACCTATCATGAGGCTGAGGTCTAAGCCAAAGGCTCCTTACTTGCATAGGCAGGTGTCTACCAAGGTCTTGTGTCTGATTTTATACTCATAAAGCCACCAGGGTCCTGTCACCTGGATTTGGATGGGCCACCCTTGCTGGGAAACAACTGGGTGATGTGCAGAGCAGATCTGGCAGGGAAAAGGCATTCTTTTGTATTAATTTTCTTTCTTTCTTTGTATCAACTTCTTTCTTTTGTATTAATTTTCTTAAAAGTTGTCGCCCTAGATTTATAAGACTCAGGTCTTGTGAAATCTGAATCTATCCTGAGTCTCTAGCTTAACTTTCAACCCTGGAGTTGGTTGATTGACTTAGTGACTAATTGTTGTACTATTACTACATGCTCGAGAGATACATAGGTAGGTTCCAATCATTCATGATTATAAACAACAGCAGGAGTAAACAACCTTGTAACTAAATCCTTGTGGACATCTTTAATTATTTCCTCCGAATAAATTCCTGGGCTGAGAATTGCTGTGTCAGAGAGGATGGACGTCTTAAAACATTCTCTATGTGTTACCAAAGTGAGTGTTCTTTAGATAAATGCCTTAATTTACCCAGGCACTGGTGTTTTGGGGTAGTTTTGCAAAGGGCTGCCCTATGCAGTGAAAGAGAATAGAGTCTATACGGGGCTGACTTAACAAGATCATAAATGCTAGTCAAATTGACTAGGAAGGTATGGTAAGACATGAAAAGAAAAAGCATATGGAAACTGTGAAAAGAAGACAAATGTGCACTAGGTGTTGCATCTGGTGTCTTTTTGAGTAAATTATTCTCTAGCTTCTTTATTTTTTAAATTTTATTTATTTGTTTTATAGAGACGAGGTTTTGCTATGTGGCCCAGGCTGGTCTCGAACTCCTGGGCTCAAGCAATCCTCTTGCCTTGGTCTTCCAGAGTGCTGGGGTTACAGGTGTGAGCCACTGTAACTGGCTCATTTAGCTTCTTTCTTTTGTTTTCTTTTCTTTTTTTTCAGTCAGAGTCTCACTCTGTCGCCTAGGCTGGAGTGCAGTGGCATGCTCACAGCCACCCCAGTGTCGATCTCCTGGTTTCCGGCAATCCTTCTGCCTCAGCCTTCCAAGTAACTGGAACCACAGGCATGCACCACCATGCCCGGCTGATTTTTTGATTTATTGTGGAGACCAAGTCTCACCATGTTGCTCAGGTTGGTCTTGAACCCCTGAGCTCAGGCAATCCTCTCGCCTTCACCTCCCAAAGTGCTGGGATTACAGGCGTGAGCCACTGTGCCCAGCAACTTCTTTCTTAATTCCATATGTTGTGGTTTAAGATGTTTGCTTCGTGCTATGTTTTACAGGTGAGAATATGTGTTATCTGGAGGAAAAAGGAGGGAGAAGAATGTGCTGGAAGTGGCATGAGGAAAGCCAGGGTCAGCGTGGACCCTGCAGGTGGCAGAGTTGTGGGCTCCTGTGTCGAGGGACCTCCAGCTGCAGATCACAAAGCCCGTGTATGTGCTGTCTGTGCTGTCTGGAGAGCCAGCACTTCTCTGATCCTGTAACTGAGCATTTCTGTCAATTCTTTTGCAAGCAAAAACTGTCACTGCTCAGGGGGACTTAGATCTCTGCTGAGGGTGGGTGTGACCTTGCTTTTCTGAGCCCAGCTCTGTAGCCAAATCACACTGAGAACAGAGCCCCAGGCCCAGCTTCTCTCGAAGTGCTTGCTCATGGCTAGACAGACCAGAATATCCTGGACAGTGTTCCAGATGATGTTTGTATCATTTGGGATGTGAACATGCAAGTGACTCAGTTTTCTTTTTTTTGATAACGCCCAGAGGGTGTCTGCCCGCCTAGCATGGGCTTCCTCTCCTAGAGCTCCCAACCCAGAGTCTCTTGGCATCCTTGAGCAACAGCAGTAGATGCCAGGGAACATGAACAAAGCCGATTTCTGTCTCCTTCCCTTCGATGGGGACCAGTTCCTCAGCTGCAGGGCTGACAACTGTAACACCCTGTGATATAAATAAACGGGGCCCGACTGGCGTCCTGCCTCTAGAACGGGCGTCTTTCTCATCCCCCCCTTCCTCCTCCTCCCTTGCCCCAGACGCCCTGGAGTCCTAAGTGGTTGGGTGCACTCGCTTCCTTTCTGGTGACAAGCTTCCTGCCCCCCTCCTGGGATTCATCAAAGCTGCTGTGCTCCGGCATGGAGCAAGTACTTGGAGATGGAAGATGCGCTCACTGGACTTTTTACTTTGTTAAGACTGTCAGAGCATCATTTAGTGAGGAACAGGAGGCAATCCCAAGTCAAGGAGAATATAACATACTCGACGTGCATTAAGGTTGAGAATGAAAAGAACAAGCTAGTTAGTTCTGGTGAGCTGCCCAATGCAGTTGCCTCTGGCCAGATGTATTGCTGTTTAAGTGAAAATTCATTTAAATGAAGTAAAATTAAAACTTCAGTTCCTCAGTCACACTTGCCACATTTCAAGTGCTCAGTAGCTACATGAAGCTAGTGGCTACTGTTTTGGACACAAAAGAGAGAACATTTTCATCATCACAGAAAGTTTACTGGACAGTGTGGGTGTAGAGCAATGACCCAAGTCTTAAGGGGCCAGACAAGGACCAAAGGAAGGTACAAGAAAAAGTAAACCCTTAACATATTTGAGTGTTAAAATGGAAACAGGGGTGCTTAACTGTAACTAAAAAGCATAGCCCATTGAAGAGACTGAATTGTCTTCCTATTCATGAAACATTGGAAGGCCTTCTCTGTGCTAAGGGCTAGGGGTTCAAGAGTGAGAAATCCGCTCATGATCTGAAGGGTGAGGCCATTGTGGGGTTCTAGTCTTGTGCCTCCGGCAAAATATAAGGTGGAAGCTCTGATGGGGAAGGGGATTATCCTTGGGCAGGCATGAGTTTTTCAGAGGGGAAGAGGAGAGATGCTGTGAAGGGAAGAGGTTTAGACAGGGAGCCCTGGGATCATGGGCCCTGCTGCCTCTAGGCCTGCTAATCTTGGTGAGGAAACATCCAGACGTGGCGGGGGCAGCCCTGACTTCTCATAACCTTCCTTGGGGACACCTTTGACAAGTTACTCTGTCCCATGCCAGGCTCTTAGGGGAAGGTGTAGCTCCACTTTCTCATTTGGATTTTCTGGAGATGGCATTTTCAGACTCTGTTCCTGGTCCCCACTTGCCCTACAGAGCCTGCTTTCTCAAACTCTCAGGAAGGCACATCTCAGGAAGGCCCGAATTTTAAGGGGATCCAGGAAGCATTTTCTTGGTGATTCTGGGGCGTTTCCTGGAAGATCTTGAGAAGCTGGCAAGGGTGCTGTTTCCTGAGCTAGTGCTGAA